AAAAACATTGCAAGAATTAGATGTTTTGTTTCCAGTCAAGACTTGGAGAAACTTGTTCATGTCTTTACTATTGACTCATGCCTGTTCATGACTATTGAAATGGTCTCCTCACCGGCCTTCCCAAGAAGACTATTAGACAGCTGCAGCTCATCCAGAACGCTGCTGCCAGAATTCTGACTAGAACCAGAAAATCTGAGCATATCACACCAGTCCTCAGGTCCTTACACTGGCTTCAGTTACATTTAGGATTGATTTTAAAGTACTTTTACTCGTTTATGAATCACTCAATGGGCGAGGACCTAAATACATAGCAGATATGTTCACTGAATATAAACCTAACAGACCACTCAGATCATTAGGATCTAGTCAGTTAGAAATACCAAGGGTTCACACAAAACAAGGGGAGTCCGCTTTTAGCTATTATGCTGCCCGCAGTTGGAACCAGCTTCCAGAAGAGATCAGATGTGCTAAAACATTAGTCACATTTAAATGCAGACTCAAAACTCATCTGTTTAGCTGTGTATTTATTGAATGAGCACTGTGCGATGTCCGAACTGATTGCACTATATTTTATGTATAATCTTTTTCTATTCTTAACTGTTTTAAATTCATTTTGAACCTTTTAAATCAATTTTTAAATCATTTTCAAAGTTTTTAAATTTCTTGTATTATTGTTTTATTTTATTTTATGTAAAGCACTTTGAATTACCATTGTGTATGAAATGTGCTATATAAATAAACTTGCCTTGCCTTGCCTTGAGGGCATAGATGGCACAGATTCCTTCAATCTCTCTGTGAAACAGTGTTTAATAATAATAATTAGTTACATTTATATAGCGCTTTTCTGGGTACTCAAGCGCTTAACATGAAAGTGGGGAATCTCCTCAACCACCACCAGTGTGCAGCATCCACCTGGATGATGCGACGGCAGCCATATTGCGCCAGGACGCACTAGCTTATTGGTGGAGAGGAGACGGAGTGATGAAGCCAATCAGTGTATGAGGATGATTAAGAGGCCATGATGGTCAGAGGCCAATGGGCAAATTTGGCCAGGATGCCGGGGTTATACCCCTACTCTTTTTCGAAGAACATCCTGGGATTTTTAATGACCACAGAGACTCAGGACCTCAGTTTAACGTCTCATCTGAAGGACAGTGCTTTTTACAGTATAGTGTCCCCGTCACTATACTGGGGCGTTAGGACCCACACAGACTGCAGGGTGAGCACCCCCTGCTGGCCTCACTAACACCTCTTCCAGCAGCAACCTAGTTTTCTCAGGAGGTCTCCCATCCATGTACTGACCAGGCTCAACCCTGCTTAGCTTCAGTGGGCAACCAGTCTTGAGCTACAGGGTGATATATAGCAATATAATAGCAATGCTCAGGTCAGATGGGGCTGTTCATTATTTCAAAGGCATGTCTGATGGCAGTATGGACACTCACACATACCTTTCGTTCTTAATTGATAATTAATCAGTTGTTGATGACTGTTAATTGAGCCTGTGACAGTGACATTATAAAAATATTTACACATTCTGTTTCCAAATGGCCATGGCTCTTAAACCAAATACCATTGTGTTCAATGGAACATTTAGAGTTTTTGCATTTTATTTATTCTTATTTTTTTTGTGGTAGTGGTGAGGATTCTCTCGATGGCCTTATGAAACACAGATGTCCCTTGACCCCTTCGCTGTCTCCACGGAAACGGACCACCAGCCAAAGCAAAACAGAGCCTCCACTTCTGAGGACGAATAAAAGGACAATCTACACTGCAGGGCGTCCACCCTGGTACAATGTTACTGGGACTACCTTTAAAGAAGCCTTTGTCATAGGTACAACAGATATGCATGCCTTCTATTTGATAATGACATATCAAGTCTTGTTATGTAAAGGGCAATTAATTATTACATTTGATAAAGTCTTATGAAAACATTGCACAATATGACATTTGTTAAGAACATTAAGTGGGTATAATTTAGGTTTCATATTGTATTAATACTTTATTACACTCATAAGAGTTTAGTGAGTAATAAAGCAGCATAAATATAAAACATTAGAATTTTTCCTGTTTGCAAAATGTTTTCTCTAAATTTGAGACATGAATTATGCACCACTGTTCAAAAGTTTGGGGTCAGTAAGATTTTATTGAAATGTTTTTGAAAGATGTCTCTTGTGATCACCAAGGCTGCAGTTAATTCATAAAAAATAGAGTAAAACTGTAACATTAGTGGAATATCATTACGATTTAAAAAAAATCTGTTTTAATATATTTTAAAATGTAATTTATTCCTGTGATGGCTAAGCTAAATTACTCCAGTCTTCAGTGTAACATCCTTCATAAATCATTCTAATCAGCTGATCATAATGTGCATTTCTTGTTATAAAAAAGTCATAGTGACCCCAAAGTTTTGAACAGTATTTTCAGTAATTTCACACTTGGATGTGCTCCAGTCAATTATTCTTTAAAAAAAAAAGTGTGGTGTGTCTGTCTTCCCTGCTCGCTCAGTCAGAGAGAAACTAATAAATCCACCCAAGTGGAATGATCTTCCCTTAACAAAAGTCAGAGGAACAGGGAGACGAGAGAGGACATAACAACACTGAAGCAGTTTTAAGTAACTTTAGTCCATATAACAACAAGAAGCTTTTTGTTATTCCCACTGGTTGTGTATCTTATTTTATGTAGTGTTTTCATTATGGCCTTTTATTCTGGAGATCTATCTGATACTTAAAACTTTAGTATCTGAAAATGTAGTGGTCAGCATAATGTCTCACATGACTGGCTTTTGTATAATGTACCATCAGATGAGTTGTGTAATGCATTTTTCTTGTCTGATTAGCAGACTTTTTCTTTTTCTTTTTTATTCTTCTTTGATTTATATATACATATTGTTGTGACGCAAACATTTGTAATCGACCAGGTTTTGCAATAGCAATAAAAATGATCAATATTTAAAAACTAAAAATATCTATCTATCTATCTATCTATCTATCTATCTATCTATCTATCTATCTATCTATCTATCTATCTATCTATCATAATGAATGCACTGTTGCGTCCTGCAGGTCTGTGTGGAGGAAGTGCCTCTGGGAAAACCACCGTGGCCAATAAGATCATAGAGGCTCTTGATGTTCCTTGGGTTGTTCTGCTCTCTATGGACTCTTTCTACAAGGTACTTCACAACTGTGTTAAAGTAGACCCAGCTACAATACTTCTGCTTTGAACTTCCTGTCCTCTTAAAGTGAGGAATTTCACTCCAAATCCAATGACATGTTTCATCAGTGGTGCTATTGCTCCTAGTTGCATTTGCAGACCACTGTGCCATTAAAGTGCTTCAAATGAAACTTCTTCATGTGTTGAAACCACTGAAGCATTAATATAATTTGCTCTTGCCCCGTTGGATGTGCTGAAACCCTATAGGATCTACTCATCAATCCTTATTTGATTTAATGGCATATCCTCCAGCTTATTAGTTGTCTAATTAAGTGGTTCAATCAGTCAGATATGTTTCTCACTATGGTGGGAAGTCTACAGGCAAATTTCATTGAATAGTGCCGTTTTGTTGTTGTCAACCTCAACATTTCTGCATCACTGAAAACAATGTAATCTTTACTGTTTTCTTCTTTCAACTTTCTTTACTTGCCATCTTGCAGGTTTTCAGTAAAGAGGAGCAGGAGTTGGCAGCTAGAAACGAGTACAACTTTGATCATCCTGATGCCTTCGATTTTGAACTGCTAGTAACTGTGTTGAGAAAACTGAAAAAGGGCAAAAGCATCAAAGTGCCAGTATACGACTTTACCAGTCACAGTCGTCGCAAGGAGTGGGTAAGCATGTTTTCTCCTCCAGAACAACACTATGTAGTTTCTGCATCCCTAGCATTACCAAACAGAATTGCAAAAATAATTTTGACGCTCAAACAAACTAAATAAACCTACAAACAGTTTGCTTACAGTTGTCGTATTAGGCTGGGATAGGAGAACACTTTATTAAGTAACACTTTATTTTGTAGTACCCTTGTTACACATTACATGTACTTATGTAGTAATAAGACTTGCGTAATAAATGTACCTGTGTAAAACAGTAATTACATGTAGCTAACCCTAAACCTTTCCCTAACCCTATGGTAAGTACATGTTGTTAATTAAAATTACTCAATACTTTACACTGTAACAAGGCAACTTTAAAATAAAGTGTAACCTACTTTATCTTTATTAAATGTGATGCAGCAGTGCTAATGCAATTACAGTGTATGTTCTAATAATGATCTGTAATGCTTTTTTTGCCATATTATTAATTAAATAGACACAATATAGCAGAAGAATATTAACATCAGATTACCATGAAACATAATTCAGAAATTGCAAACTTTACTGTGAATTAATGTTAATTTAGATCAGTAATTTACTTTCTAAACCTGATTAATATACAGTTGTGTCTTTATAGATTTAATATAACTCCAAAACCAAACTCTCTTATAAAGCTGTCAAATTTCACCCTTTAATTGTTAACCGAGAACAATGTTTAAGTTTGCTTTTATTATTTACAGGCAATTTGCTGTTTTATGCCTGATAGAAATAAAGCAGTAGCAGTAACTACGGTTACTTTAGACACATATTTATGATTCCTTAGGAGCTGCGCTGCTTTTTATCTTCCTAAAATTGAACATGCATTAGGGGTTTTTTTCTGTATTTAAAAGGGTTGTAATGTTAATGAGTGATAAAGTGAGATCTCTGGCTCTGTGGCGTATACAGGCCAATTGTGCAGCTGATCAATACCGAATGAGTGGCCATTGATGGGAGGCCTCATGGTAGTGCATCTGTCTTAATGGGATCATGACACCATCAGGGTTCCCCTTATTCTGAAGCAGGGGAGCATGGAGGAAATGCATCACCGCACACTTCCACAGTTTCTCCCAACACTGCCTCAGTTTATTGACATCATATTTGAAGTTGAACAAATTTTAAAGCATTTCTCTGGGCATTTTGTGTACCTTATTTTTGTGTAATTTGATCAGTTAAGGTATAAACCAGATTTTTTTAATAAATGTATTATATGCGGTAATTAATTTACTGACTATTTCATCAATAATTTGTACTTTTTCTGGTAATTTATTATATTATATTATGTTATGTTATGTTATGTTATGTTATGTTATGTTATGTTAGGTTAGGTTAGGTTAGGTTAGGTTAGATTAGATTAAAACATGGCATTTTTTATATGTTGTTTTCTTCCAGGTCTTTTAATGTCTGTTTATGTTCCTCTGTGCAGAAAACCGTCTATGGGGCCAACGTTGTGATATTTGAGGGAATCTTGGCTTTTGCCAACGTTAGGTTAGGTTAGGTTAGGTAAGGTTAGATTAGATTAAAACATGGCATTTTTTATATGTTGTTTTCTTCCAGGTCTTTTAATATTCTCTGTTTATGTTCCTCTGTGCAGAAAACCGTCTATGGGGCCAACGTTGTGATATTTGAGGGAATCTTGGCTTTTGCCAACAAGGAGCTTTTAAAGGTAAGCCTCATATTAAACTTGTAAAAGTCTCAGTTATCACCTTTAACTGTGGTTTGTGACATCACAAAAGGCTTTCAGTAAAAGATAGAAAGAGAGGAAAAATAATGGAAAGCTTCACAGCCTGAAATATAGAAGAGCATCATGGGAGTCATAAAGCAGAGGGAAAACTGGGGGTGTAAAAGATAAGGTCAAATGAAGAGAAAGATAGCTGTGTAATGATAGAATGAGAAGAGAGGGAATATAGTGTATTTTATATTCCCACAGGTTAGTTATGGATGCTGAATGACAATAAAACAAGAGGTACAGTCTGCTTATTTTTTTCTTTTGAATTTGGGGTGAAATGATCCTGGACATTTCACAGTCTGATGTCTCTGCCACTGAGTAATGGATCTCATTCCCACAACCCGACTGGGAAGATGAGATGCCCTGTCTATACCACCTCTGTCTCTCTCTGCAGCCCTGCATATACATGAAAACCCATTAATGGTTAGCTTGATAATGAGTTCTAGTTGTCTCTTCTATCATTTAAGGGAACAGCTGCATCTCTGGATGAAGAATAGATATAGATAGATATATATAGATATGTAAAATCATGTTCCTAATGCCTGGTCCTACTGAAACTGCACAAGAACTCTCTCCTCCCCTTGCGTTCTTTTCTTCCTGCATCCTGTTGTTTTCCTCGAACAGTGAAGATGACTGATTCTTCTGTCTCTCTAATGGTGAAGAGCGGCCACAGGAAGTGAAAAGGCGGTGTTTATCTATGCCTGCGTTGATGATTCCCATTGCCGGGTTTCGATTCTTCCTTTGCACGTGGTGTCCGGAAATCTATACAAATTAAAATGGGAGTTATGGTGTACGCTTTGGCAAAGCAATTCATCCTGATGTGATTTATGAGCACTGTGCAGCAGATGTGCCGCAGAACCAATGAAACTCAACAAACGGTAGACATCATTCGGCTAATGAATGGATCAGGGTTTTCAGTTGAACTCTTTCTCATCGCAGGCCTTTGTGAATACAGTCACAGCTCACTTCCATTTTCATTTGAGAGATATTCATTCAGGAAGGATGAGCAATGACTTCCTGTCCTTTAAAACTTGATATACACTTGACCTTTCACTCCATTCATGTACTAATCATTTCTTGCACGCCTGCACACAGAGTCTTATAAGTTATGCCTTGTTGTGTTGGTAGGGCTGCTGGCACTGCTGTTTAAGGGTGTTGGATTTTTTATCGTTACTCTCAAATTTAATGCCTTTGCCATATCATGTGGGCTCACTGAATGATATTTTAGCGTCAGTGTCAGCACAAGCGGTACATCTTGGCTAGTTGGCGTCACGCTGCACTACATTGCTTTGATTGATCCTGACTTCCCCTTTGCTGAGCAGCTTTTATAAAATTTCTTATCCATTCGCTCCGTTGAAAGATCTCATACGTGTTTTCAGTAACAGGAACCGTCGAGGAGAGGCGGTAGTAGATCCTGGACAGATTGTGTCTGCCTAGCAAGATTTTGTCACTTTGGAGTGGAGAACAATGAGGGTTATTGAAGTTGTTGGTGTGTGTTTTTTTTTCTCTCCAAAAAATCTTAGTTAAACAGCCAATTTCTACATGAAGAACTACACTACTGTTCAAAAGTTTGGGGGCTGATGAGTTTTCTCTTATGCTCACCAAGGCTCTGTTCATTAAAATTGTGTAATATTATTACATTTTAAAATAACAATTTTCTATTTTAATATTTTAAAATGTAATTTATTCCTGTGATGGCAAATCTGAATTTTCAGCATCATTACTCCACTCTTCAGTGTCACATGATCTTTCAGAAATCCTTCTATTATGCTGATTTGCTGCACAAGAAACATTTCAATGTTGAAAACAGTTGTGCTGAAACAGTGATACATTTTTTTTCTAGATGTTTGGATGAATAGAAAGTTCAAAAGAACAGCATTTATTTGAAATAGAAATCTATAAATGTCTTTACTGTCACTTTTAAACAATTGAATACATGCTTAGCTAAACATAAGCTGGAAGATGGAAGCTTTGTCTATAACACATTGTCAGTTTCTTGATGTTTTGTGTGGTATTACTGTTTCTGTGTGTCCTTCAGCTCCTAGACATGAAGGTATTTGTAGACACAGACTCCGACATCCGGCTAGTCAGGCGACTAAAAAGGGACATCACGGATAGAGGGCGTGACATTGCAGGCGTCATTAAACAGTACAACAAATTTGTCAAGCCAGCGTTTGAGCAGTACATCGAACCCACTGTGCAGGTTGCAGATATTGTGGTCCCAAGAGGTATGTGAAGTTGGAAAATGTTAAAACTGCCAAAGATTTTGTAAGATGTCATAGACTATTAAGCATATTTTACCAGACTGTCTGTTTTTTAATATTGCTAGGCAACATTTATATTCAGAAATTTAATTAAAAGATGATTTAAAAATGTTTCACCTTGGAAATGTTTTGAATTTCTGTATAAATATCGAACTGAAAGACCTTATACAGTTAGCCTTTGATGCTGGTATGGCAATAAATAATTACTGTGAAACCTTACTAGTTTGTTCAGAACTCAAAATTATGGGAATTTGTGTCTGTGAAAGTATAATGGAGATGATAAAATCCCCTTCCGTTGTTCCTCAGGTGGAGAAAACTTTGTAGCCTTGGATCTGATTGTTCAGCATGTTCACAGTCAGCTGGAAAAGGTATGTAATAAAATGGCTCCTCATTCTCATCTGTTGGACACTGAGTGAGAACGATTAGTTGGTCTGTGCATAAAGAAGTGCTGAGAATGGCCAACATGCATGTGGTTATCCCTGCTAGATGATCCACATGCTTCTAATACACACACAAATGTTGCATGCGTGTGCATATGAAGCCCATGCCATGGTATAAGCATAGTTTGCTCATGGTATAAGTATAGTTTGCCCTCTGGTGGTCATACTGTACCTGTGACACAAGATATTTTGTTCTAAATAGTATATGCATTGGTTAAAACAAGAGAAGGCAAGGCCAGTAATCTTGATCTTCATTTTACAGTCCATCTTCGCCTTTATAGTTCATTTGCAAATGTAATTTCTGGCACAATATTCATTAAAAATGACGAAATTATGACATTTCCAATGGGAATTGATTGGATCTTGAAAAAGGTGGGCATTTCTTACCATAATATTGCTCAGCCATAATATTGGGAAATTGCTAAAACGGTGACTAAATAGCCTTTTGCCTGTTGGTTAACATTATCCACTCTTTTCTTTGGAATAGCATGCTCTGATGATTCAGACAATATGCTGAGAAACCAGGAGACAAGCAAATGTGTAGACAGTTTTTGATTTTATGTTGATTTTAGGTGCCTACCAAGGTAATTATTAGAAAGACAAAGATGTTAACACTAATGAACGTTTGCTGAGTGATGTTCTTGTGCATATACAGTATTGATGACAGATGTATTCCACGGAAAGGGTTTAGAGCCTGAGCCTCTTTGAAATGTAATCATTTTCTGTGCCTGACAGGCTGAATAAAGTCACGAGTCTTCTTAACTCGATCAGTCACAGTGATGAATGATCTTTAGGACTAATGAACCATGTGCTTTTGTACAAAAGATATCCTGCTCTAAACCCATCGTTGGGTTTCTCATCACATAGAGGTCAGATTTGAACGATTTTGATGTTACGCCCAGTGAGTACTTTGACTGAAAAATATTTTGAAAGACACTGCAAAAGTTTATTATAAAAATGTTTTTATGATTCCTCGATTAGGGGCGCTTCTGACATTCTGTTTTGTATAACATGTGATGTGTGGGTTTTTAATACTGTGTGTAATGGTAATGACGGTATTGACATTTTTTGCTTTATGAGAGAAAAAAAAGAAACCTTGAACTTGCTAACTCAACAGGTTAGGTAGTAGCCCATTAAGTTACTTATTAAGTTATAGAACTTCTTATAAGAACTTATAGAAGGAAATGTATTAAATTAATTGAAACAATTAAATGCTTATCATTGTATAAAGCTATCTACCTTATTAATTTATTTAAAATATTAAATGATGTATGTACAATTTATACACCCACATACACATTACTATTATAATATAACAAATTATTAATAATAAATATATTACTTTTATAATTAATAATATATTCCATTTATTTATGCAAAATACAATTTCCCTAATTCAAACTCTTTTTCTTTATTTCAATTTATTTCATTTTTATTTCATTAAAGTCACCCTTTTCCACAAAAACTGGTGTAACCGCAAATCAATTAGATATTTAGTACAATGGAAAATGTGTTGTCTATAAATGTGTTATCTAATCAACCCTGTGATTCCACAGTAATATAGTAACACTGATAAAGACTGTTAAATCAGCCTGAAACATTTTCTTTTCAGTGTTGGAAATATGAGAAGCATAAATGTATATTGTGTAAATCTGCAAGAATGTGATTGTATCAGGTTAAATATTGGGCGTAAGAGTAGCTGATAGTGCCATGAAATATTTTCCCAGTATACCATGGAGAGGGTGAGGGCTGACTGTTTGGAATGGCTTTTCAGAGTGAATATCTCATTTCATGAGTTTGTCTTTTTTTCTTTTCTTTTTTTTTTCTTCTCCTCCCTGTGCGTGTTTGTAATGAAATACTTGCTAAACCCTCAACCGATTGCTCTAACCATCCCAGCGTGAAATCACAGTGAGGTATGGCTGCTTTTCACCTCATTCCCATCCATCTCTCTTTCCTACATTCTTTAAACCTGTGCTTCATCTCTCCTTTCTTTTCCTCAAACCTGCAGAGATGCAAATGGAGACAAAAGGAAAAGCTTAGCTCTGGCTATGCTCTACACTAAACAAATGAAACGTTTAGTGTTGTTGAGGCTGCAGTTTAAACGGATACACAGCCTCGCCCACATTCAAATCTCACTTGTTCAAAATCATAGCTATAATTGAAACCACTAATACACTACCGTTCAAAAGTTTAGGGGTGGTATTTTATGGCAAAGTCTCTTATGTTTATCAAGGCTGCATTTATTTGATCAAAAATTCAGTAAAACAGTAATAATATGAAATATTATTACAATTTAAAATAACTTTTTTCATATCTTTTAATTTATTCCAGTAATGCAAATCTAAATTTTCAGCTGTCTTCAGTGTCACATGATCCTTCAGAATTCATTCTAATATAATGATTTGGTGCTCAAGAATCATTAATCATTATTAATTTTGAAAGCAGTTTGGTGCTTTGATCAATTTAATGTTTCCATGTTGAATAAAAGTATGAATTTCTTTGAACGGTAGTGCTTGTTTTGATATTTACTTTCATATTTTGGCTGAAATGATCTATAAAACAAAATGTTTAAGTGAAGACTGTATGCTAAGGACCTGAATGAGTTGCACACAACTGATGTAAAGACAAAGAATATCATTATAAAGAAGCTTTATAAACACCATAGCTGGACTGTGTACCTTTTGTCTCCACCTCCACTATGTTATTTTGCTAACACAGGAATGGGTCTATTTCAGTGGTTTCGCTCTTCAGATACTGTGCAGCCTGTGAAACCCATTGATAATGCATATGGTCTCATTACTGAGACCTCTGTTGTCATTTGATCATTTTATTCAAAAACCACTGACATACTACCCACACCTGAGCTCATCTTGGCTGTGATGTGCCTGTTCTGTATAGACTTTAATCAGGTCGTGTTCTTTTCTCCCCCTCCCTCTCTCTTTTCTCTGTCTCGTCATCATTGTCTCCCAATGAACATTTATTCCCTTCTTCAGAGGAAACTCCGCTGGGATATGTGAGGATAAATTCTTGCATCCTCTCGCGTTTCTTTTTTCTGTTGTTTTCTTCATTTTATTTTATTTTGTTTGTTTTCTTGGATCCATCCTCTGCAATACTTCCTCACTTGATAAACACATGTTCTGCTCTTTTAGTCCTTTTTGAATTTTTTAAAGCTTGTGTATGTTTAACTCAACTTCATCTTTTCAGAGTGGGCTAATAACATTCACACTATCAGTCCATCACAGTGTCCTAACCAGCAGCGACTGAAAAAGCGACAAGACATTTTATCCATCACATGGTTTCTATTTTTATGGCATTGCCTTGGTAGAAATCTGATTGGTCCAAAATCCCTGTACATATCTTCTGATTGGTTGTCATCGTATCATGCCAAGGAACAGTTTTGTGTTCAGTGTAGACAAAATACTTGTCGCCTCACACTGGTTAGGACGTGATGTGTTTCTGAATGGGATTGTGGGCTGAGTTTTGGTGAAACTGGCAGCCACAATGAAGGAAATTTAGCAGCTACATATATTAAATGTCTCAAATCAGTCATTAATGTAGGTTGTTGTACACTGTAAAGGGCAGTTGTGGCTCTCTCCTTGCTAAGATTTTCACATTTACAATATTGTAATTAAATGAACAGAATTCAGTCCAATACCATCTTGTTGGTTTTAAAGTGCACGTATTATGCCATTTTTTTTAAGGTTCCTAATATTGTTTTGGGAGTCTCCTACAATTTTGCAGATTGTTTACATTCACATACAGCTAAATTACACACCGCATGAAAAGCGATATTCGAAATGGCATAATAGGGACACTTTAATATCACAGTATTTCACCGTTTAAAGAAATGGTTTACTCTAATATTAAAACTGTCATTTACTCTGTCTCAAGTATGATGTTTTTTCTTTCTTTTGCGATATGCAAAAAGAGGTTTTTACAATGTTAAAAAACAGCGTGAAAATCCTGCCTTTTTTGTGGTCTGTGAAAGAAAGAAAGTCATATGTGTTTTGAACGAAATGAGTGAGTAAATGATCACAATTGTAACTTTTAGTTGTACTGTTTCTTTAATGCTTGTGCATCAGATTTTTGGTTGCAAAACCCTTACTTCTGTCTTCTTCTAATTTAAAGGCCTGTTCACACCAAGTCTGATGGTTCACACTGATGATGCACATTGCACACACTTGTACATAGAAACTTACGATATTAACAGGTTGTCAACACATAACCCAAGTCAATATCTTATTGGTCAGTGAGGTTTCTTTTTGGGGTGAAATGTAAATTATGCCATTCTTTTATTTTAAAATGTATTCATAATTGAAATCCTGACTTGAAGTGAATGGGCCTTGACTTTACCTTGACCTATTACCATAACACTTCAAACTCACATCAGCTCTTCAAACCATATTCGCACTGGGAAAAAGTCAGAAAGTCAGTGCTTGTGTGCACCTTGTGGAACGTTTATGTCTCATATCCATGTGCTCTATAGATCAGCCCTGGCATCTGCCCATCAGGGTCAACCTCTACCCAAGACCCTGAGTGTCATGGAGAGCACCCCACAGGTCAGAGGAATGCACACTATTATCAGGTATTATCAGAACCTTATTATCACACTATCAAGCAAACTTGCTTATAAGATTCATTTGTTGTGAATTGTACTGCTTTAGTGCTGCATGCTTCATTTTATATGGACCTAATAGACATAACATAATAGAAGGACGTATTGGCATTATTTCACAGTACATATCAGTCAGAACGTTAGCAAACTGCTAGTTCGCAGCTCAGCTAATGCTGTAATTTCAATAATACTGTTATAGAATCATTCAAATTGGTCTGGATTTAAAGTTTAGGTTCAAACTCAGGAATCATAACAATTGTACCCTGTACAATATACACCTTGGGTTACTCCAGTGTAGGTGTACTTTATGTCACAGATAAATGAAGAGCAAAATTTATCAGCTAAATTATTTAATTGTGCATTTAATGAGTGGGGCTTCGGCAGGCCAGCAACAGCTTGAGTTGTGTTTGTACGTTTTGGGCCACTGATTTGTAATTAGGTCATTAAAATAAAATAGGGATTGTTTTCTAACTTTATCTAAACTCTCAGACCAGTGGTTCCTGTATATATCCTGCATACTCTCTTCCAAAAGACCATCATCTCTGTTGTGTATTACTGACTGTGTCCCCTGTGCCCCCAGGAATAAAGAAACCAGTCGGGATGAATTTATTTTCTATTCAAAGAGATTAATGAGGCTTCTAATAGAGCACGCCCTGTCCTTCCTGCCTCTGAAGGTGAGTGGACCGCCATTAATGACCAACTACGAACTTTTAAACTTGGATATTGGTCATAATACAATGATGCATTCGAGTGTCAGGCAGCTCCCCCAGTGACAAATTACATTTTTATGGTGTGAAGTGAAGCAAGTCTTCATTTAAGATTAAAGCACTTGTTTTATATAATTTTAGTTAAAAAAATCGATCACTGAACCTTATTTCGTCTTTTCTCTTTAGCCGGTGTCTGTTGAAACTCCTCAAGGAACTGTATATGAAGGGAAGAGGCTGAGCGGGAAAAGGGTTTGTTTATTTGGAAGATTAAAATGAGTTACATACTTTTGTGAAACAATTGCTGGGTCAAATTAGTTATCCTGGCTATTAATTTGTCAAATCATTTGGTTTCTATGGAAGCCTGTTTTAACCACAGAAAAAAATAAAAGTTATTGCAAACTTTCATTTCAATTCAGACTTTTTCTCACAATTCTTTTTTTTTTATTAGGAGTAAAGGGAGTTTATATCTCCCTTTCTTCTTTTTTTATTCCATGACAGAAACCCGTTTCCATAGGTATTCCTATTATCTGTATGGCAGGACTTTATACCTGTGCTCCTTGTTTGTTTGTTTGATAGATCACTGGTGTGTCCATTTTACGGGCAGGAGAGACCATGGAACAGGCCTTGATGGCTGTTTGTAAGGACATTCGACTCGGAAAGATCCTCATTCAGACCAATCATGACACAGGAGAGCCTGAGGTATCACATCTTCACCCATCCAACTGACAGACACTTCAGCTTAAACAAGCTCTGATTAAAAAGTTGGCTGTGTTATCATGTATCCTTGTGTTCTCAGCCTTGGTGAGACGGCACGGATGATTTACTCGTAGCCTATTAGTCAGGACTCAGGTCATGGTCTGTTTCAATGCTGTGCTTAGTCAGATTTGATATCTATGCCTCTTCTCACCTGACATATAACATGTGTCGTAATGTACATGATAAACTCGACAGCTCTGTGCTGATGGATGTCAGTTTGCTGGTATTTTTTTGGAAGAGTGTTGTGTAGAGCTCACTCCAGCTGTATGTTCACTTTGCATTAAGTACAGTCTTGTACTTCTTATGACCGGTGTTATTTTAGTATAATTTATATACTATTATAGAATTTATTAATATTTTGAATTAGCTTTTAGCTTCATATTTTCAGGAATTTTTTATGTGCTTATCATTGATATTTATATATATATTGATTTCGCTTTAGTTTTTGATAATTTTTATATTATGTTTATAGTTTTTTAGTAATTTATTTCAGAAAAACATAACACTGTTTATGGTTTGTCATTATAATGAATATTCCTGATATATTTGTACAGAATCAGTGACATAAGTTTGATTAATTTTATTTACAGAAATGAGTTCAGACTGTCTGTTTCAGTGAAATAGTTCAGACCTGAACCAAAAAGATTGTTTCAGTATTGTTTGCATCACTAAAAATATTCCTGGAGGTCTCTGCATTTTAATGAATTGCTGTAAAAAGAAAGTTATGTTTATTTATTTGCTTTATGGTGATATATTAAAGCATATAAATGAAAATAATTGTACAATAATTCTTATGCTCATTTAGTAGAAAAAAAACAAAAATATTTCCTTGTAATCAAAGGTATATATATATATATATATATATATATATATATATATATATATATATATATATATGTGTGTATAGATAGATATATATA